CCCAGAACTAATTCGGGGAAATAAGAGCCTCAAGCCTAAACCCAGACCCCTAGTTCACTTTACTCATCCTCCGAATCGCAAGAAGAAAGAAGATGCTCACATTTCTAATCGGGGGTTTTAACCCATAAGAACCCGGACCCATTTCTACTTTTGGGGAAATTAAGGGGAACATCATTTAGACTAAATAGACCACCTAGAACACATTTCTGACAAGAAAGACGAAGGTACGTTTTAACCGTTTGTTTTTTAGTTCAAATTGAAACTAAAAAAAGAGCAGAAACGGGTCGTTTTTTTGTTTTTCAATTTTGCCCCAAAACGAAAAAACGGAAATTCAGCTCGTTTTTTCGTTTTTCTGTTCTTACTGTTAAAACAAGTATACCACTCAATGTTTCGTTTCCGTAAGTGGGTGTGTCTCCAGCGCCTCCTTGCTTCTGATTGGCTAGTGTGCCCTATGCTTGCGCTGTACCCTTCAAAATAAAGGTTCTACGTCTTTGCCTTTAGACTGCGTTACAAATATACGTATATGATTATGTTCATACATGCAGAAAGTACAGAAGACAGTCAGTCCGTATGTCTGTCTTTCTATGTATATGTCTGTCTGTCTGTCTCGATGTCTTTCTATCTCGATGTCTGTCTGTCTGTCTGTCTGTCTGTCTGTCTGTCTGTCTGTCTGTCTGTCTGTCTGTCTTTCTGTAACTATATTTTAGAGTTTAAAGCGTAGCCACTTTTACTCCACTACATGTATTTAAAACCTTTAGTTACTTTACAGATTTTGGTAATTATGTGAAATTTAATCAAGTGTTAAATCAGACTTTAGTTCCACCTGGAGTAAATTCACAAGCTACCCTGCAGTATACAAAGTCATTCAAACTAGCTGCACCTTTACCAGCTTTGAGAACACTTTAATTATCAATCATTATAAAACATATCATATATATTATTCTGAAATGGGCCAATCTGCACAACGACTACTTTTACTGTCGCTACTTTAACTATATTTTGATGATAATACTTTTCTACTTTTACTTGAGTAACATTTTGAATGCAGGACTTTTACTTTTAACAGAGTATTCCTACACTCTGGTACTTCTACTTTTACTCAAGTACAAGATCTGATTACTTCGACAACCTCTGATTAATGGTTGATTTCCAAATGTTCTGTTGGTGCGTGGATGATAAAATAATAGCGTTTGATTGTATTGCCTTACGTATGCAGCTATTTGCCTGTGTTTAGAAACATAATTAAACATACCATGGACACACATTCAAGCAATTCTCCATTTATTAAACATTGCAGATGAACAATTAGCAAGTCATACAGCTAAAGAAAACTACAACAATTCTTTTCTGTATGATGATATCATGGAACCTGGATTTTGAACACACACCACTTAACAATAAACAATAAACTTAACAATAAACTTAACAATAAACTTAACAATAAACGACTGAACTGCTGTCCACTTTAGGGTAGGGCCCTTAAAGCATCCAGTGCTGCAGACAGTCCAGCAACCTGGGTATACACTGGCTCCTGATCCCTGCACTTGCCTTTACACATATCTTCTTACAATGTCTATGAGATCCTTTATCCCGTTTTGGAATGGTGCTGGCTCGTTATGAATGGCACGCTCAAAGAGTTCAGCAATGTCCGCATAGTTCGTTGCAAATTCTTGTTCAGCTGCTGTCTGGTGCTCCACAGTGGCAAATGGGTTTCTCCCAAACAGCGACACTCGTGTCAGAGAGGACCCCACTTCCTGATGATAGCAGTCTGCAGCATCTGTAGCTTCAGGCAAAAGATCTGCAGGCAGTCTCTTTGGGCATCCACCATGAGCAAGTTGATCTGGGATACCCTTACCTTAAAAAAAAAGCACAAATAAGTGGCCATTGTTAGCGTAATGTTACATATCATGCATATCAATGAACCTCACACAGCGTGTAATCATGGCCTGCCCTTACAACAAATGTTACTTGTGCTATTAGTACACTTCTTACAAACTTTAAAAAGTATGTTTTTAATTTTACTGTTTATGTACTTACTCATGCAATAAGAGCACTCTATAAACTAGATTAGATATGTCTTTACTCAGACAATTATTGAAATATTGGAATATATACATGCCACATTTAAACATTTCCATCAACCTAGTGTAAAAAAGGGGATACAGAGAGAATCAAATGTAGGATATAAGTACAACTTATAAAAATGCATAAAGAAGGTCATTTGTTATGGGGCTTAAGTAACATTCTGAAAACTGCTATACAAACCTTGGATTCTGTGTGCATTCCAGGACTGCACCATCTGGTCAAGTCCAATTTTGGCTACCTGACAGGTAAGAGTGGACACACAATATCGTGTGATGTTGTCTTCAAGGTTTAGTTCCTCCTGGTCAACAAGGTGGTTGACTGCGCCTTTCAGAGGGTAGTTTACCCTGTTGTTTACCTCTGGCCACATCCTTTCTATAATATGATTCTGTAATTTCAAGTAAACAAAAATGAGACGAGTCAAATGTAGAGAGCACATTGTAATTTCCCATTGTTCATTTCCCAATTTCTTTCCCAATTTCCGGCTTTGTATTTTATCCATTTCCTGTATCCAGTTCAAAAGTACTGTGTATCTCTCCTATGTCATAGGAAAAAGCTAGCAGTCCCCTAGAGAAGTTTAGTGAACGCCATGGGTCTATTGACAGCTTTATCAGCTAGCAGTTGGGTGAATAATGGAATGATATCAGAAATCTTTTATTTGTCTCGCCACAGGGTAATTTACATGATTACAACAGCAGATAAAGTGAGGAATAAAAGACAAAAATGGCGATGTGGGGATTGTCCACAGTATTGAGTATGTAAGTCGCTTTGGATAGTTGTTGCTGTATGACTTGCTAATTGTTCATCTGCAATGTTTAATAAATGGAGAATTGTTTGAATGTGTGTCCATGGTATGTTTAATTATGTTTCTAAACACAGGCAAATAGCTGCATACGGAAGGCAATACAATCAAACGCTATTATTTTATCATCCACGCACCAACAGAACATTTGGAAATCAACCATTAATCAGAGGTTGTCGAAGTAATCAGATCTTGTACTTGAGTAAAAGTAGAAGTACCAGAGTGTAGGAATACTCTGTTAAAAGTAAAAGTCCTGCATTCAAAATGTTACTCAAGTAAAAGTAGAAAAGTATTATCATCAAAATATAGTTAAAGTAGCGACAGTAAAAGTAGTCATTGTGCAGATTGGCCCATTTCAGAATAATATATATGATATGTTTTATAATGATTGATCATTAAAGTGTTCTCAAAGCTGGTAAAGGTGCAGCTAGTTTGAATGACTTTGTATACTGCAGGGTAGCTTGTGAATTTACTCCAGGAGGAACTTAAGTCTGATTTAAGTGTTGATTACATTTCACATAATTAATCAAAATCTGTAAAGTAACTAAAGGTTTTAAATACATGTAGTGGAGTAAAAGTGGCTACGCTTTAAACTCTAAAATATAGTTACAGAAAGACAGACAGACAGACAGACATCGAGATAGAAAGACATCGAGACAGACAGACAGACATATACATAGAAAGACAGACATACGGACAGACTGTCTTCTGTACTTTCTGCATGTATGAACATAATAATATACGTATATTTGTAACGCAGTCTAAAGGCAAAGACGTAGAACCTTTATTTTGAAGGGTACAGCGCAAGCATAGGGCACACTAGCCAATCAGAAGCAAGGAGGCGCTGGAGACACACCCACTTATGGAAACGAAACATTGAATGGTATACTTGTTTTAACAGTAAGAACAGAAAAACGAAAAAACGAGCTGAATTTCCGTTTTTTTGTTTTGGGGCAAAATTGAAAAACTAAAAAACGACCCGTTTCTGCTCTTTTTTTAGTTTCAATTTGAACTAAAAAACAAACGGTTAAAACGTACCTTCGTCAAGAAACCCCCCCTAGTGTCAAATATCTGAAATGTATCAAATATCTGAAATGTGACATATATGTCACATTGGGCTTTAATGGTAAAATAACTCTTATTTTTAACTTAATTAATGAGGATGATTTTTTGGTTTAAATTAGTTTGAACATTCTTTGAATTGAAGAATAAGAACATATTAACTCAATATAATTGAATCAGCTAAATTAACTGAGCAGATCATAATAATATTTCTAATTGTGCATATATGTCACTTTGGGTTTACTGTGAAAGTTTAGGGTTAAAGTCCCGATGTGACACCAGTGTCACAGCGATATTTATCTCATGTTTCATATCAATTTGATCAATAAATGTTTCCACAACAGGTTAAATGTAATAAAGGACATGTTATGTAAGCATTTTAATTCTTAAATGGCTTGAATTTTACCTTTAGCAACACAAAAAAATCTTTTGAAATGTAGCTCGTTATGTCACATGTGTTAGCCTGGCACATGGACATATTGGACATGTTGTTATGGGAACACTAAATCAAATGTCCTGGACCATGACCCACCAGACTGTTCAGTGTGTGCCACTTAGGGACTTCATGAGATAAAATAAGTGGGAAGTGAATAAAAAATTATTGCGTATTCTTTCTGTGTGGATAGTTCCAAACAAGGCATTCTAAATAGGAAAATCACGGACAATATTTTGTACTAAATGCCTTTTAAGGTTGAATATTTATCTCTATAGAACCTATATTATAAAGCATACAGACATGTTCATTTCTTTATTTGACAAACTATTGGCAAAATAAGCACTGCACAGAAAGGTCAGTGTGAACAAGTAGAACGATTTGTTACCAATAAACTTCAAAACGATAAGAAAAAGGATAATTTTCAAGTTTTTCCAATCCGATACACACATTCTAAGCTATTCCTATTTTTCCAAATAAGGGACCATAAGTGTTGGATGACACAAACTGCGTGGGACCCTGGATGTTTCCAATACCTCCACTTAGCCTTCACTAAGGTTAAAGGTTGTTGCTTCCTCTCCAAAAATAGCCTCTGCTACTAACTGCAAACAGAGAGAGCAGTACTTTGCAATCCTTTTATTTAGGCATCATTGACATCCCTGGAACTCTCACGCCTCTCTTTCAATCAGTCTTTTTATCTGGCGTTGGCCTGAGGAAGAAGGCAGGCCTGGTGCGGCAGCGGTAGCACAGAGCCTGAGGCATCAGAGCGTACAGGATGTTGACCAGCAAGAAGACAGGCTGGCCGCCAGCAGGCACTCTGTATGAGAACGGTGTCCGTGTGTGAAGTGATGCACAGATATGAGTGAACTGGGCCTGTGAAGTAAAGCAGAGGGAGAGAATTTGAAAAATCTGTTTCACACTAACAGGGACATTGGTTTCCTGTCTAGCTTGAAGAGTTCACATATCTTTTGCAATAGGCTATATTTTGCTGCTGAAAAAAGAAATGGTGTCTTCAAAATATTTCAATTCTTCCTACTTTGTTGTACAAAAGCTGTAATTTCTTTTGGTTATGAATTTTCACAAAACAATTTCATTTTGTAATGATGACCATAAGAGCTGGAACAATTATAATACTGCCTCTTATCTCCACATATGTTTTTCAATTCAACAGACTCTTGCCAGTTACCTTTTCATGGACAGTCACTGATAAAATACATATGTGCCCTCTCGCTTTCGCCACCTCAAGTCTTCATTATGAGGTGACAATAAAGACAAAGCTAAAAAGAACGTTAAAGCACGCACACAAAAAGGAAAAGGGATACATGACACTCTCATAGCAACCTCGACCGTCGGAGCATCAGCTTTCCTATTCATAGCCGGCCTGAACAGCTGACATTTAACTGAATACCACCAAACCATTCCTCTCTGGCTGAAGTCAGCCTCTGCCCTTATCCCGCTGATGAGTGATGCGCTGCAGCTCAACACAATAGCAGCTTTGTATTGTCCTGATATGACTGACCATGACCATGGTTATTTAATCATTGTATAAGTGGGAAAGAGATCAGTGGGTCATTCCAGTGGTATCTTCCCTGTATCTGTAATTTAGATATTTAAAGATATAATCTATAGGTCTGGTTTTCCTAGTTTAAATTGACACAGAGCAGAGAACTTAATATACGATATATGATAAATATTTGCTTTATAAGTTTTTGTCTTCCAAATATAGCATTCCTTGATTCAATGTAAATATATAACAATGATAAAACATGTTAGACATTAGCATTGTGTTTCACAGATAATGTAGCACAACAAATAAACATTCAATGCAAAGGCATATAGGCTAACAAACACAATCAAACAATCACTAAACCAAGAAGACAACAAAATGCTTGAAAGAAGATAAATTGATTAGAGTGGATTAAATGACAAATGTAAGTTTACTATGAATACAATAAAAAGGAGAATTTATTGACATTAAAGCGCTATATACTTTAAGAATTGTCAGTTTATCAGTCATAATTACAAGTTCTAATTTGTTGTGCACCGTTAGACCTGTTCTCTGGACTGTATGCTTGATTGACATTTATTTGCCCGATATAGCCATATGAAGTAATATGTCAATTGTCACTTTTTATAATGTCTTTGTATAAAGAGAAGGTTTATCTTTCACCTTATTAACATCGTTCTGATATAGCAATTGTATTTTCATGCAAAACGCAATAATAACGACAAAATAAAAAGTTAAAGGGGACCTATCATGCAAAATGCACTTTTGTACGTCTTTTATACATGAATATGTGTCCCCGGTGTTCCAGGGAACTCACCAAGTGTCAGAAAACACAACCCTCTCTATTTTCCTTCATACCCAAATCTCTAAAAAAGGGGCTGCAACGGATCTGATAAAAACTGATCCAGATTTGAACACTGTCCTGACGACAGGACAGTGGCGCTACGGCTATTGGGCCAACTCCACCAATCAGGAGGAGACAGCCACGGCCATTGCCGTTCGAAAGCGATGGAGACGCTGTAGTACATATGCCAGGCCTGTAGATGGTGCTGTTCTCACAGAATCTGCCCTTGCAAAAACAGAGCTAAAAAATGTCAAATTGAGCAAAATGAGGCATGGCTAAAATGCATGATCTGTTTGGTATTTTGAAAAAAAAAAAAGTATAAATATGCCTTATATAGGTATGGTCCTACACTATATTATTTAAATATAGCATGATAGGTCCACTTTAAATAAAAAAAACGGTTGGATCAAATGAAAACATGTGTTTGGTTGTGAAGAATCTCTATCTGAGGAGGCTTGGTTTCCTTGGTAACAACCAGCAGGACGTACCTGTGCCAGAGCTCCAGAGTGCACCAGAGTCAGGTCCGGCATCCACTCACATCCAGGGACCATCAGCCCGTAGAGAGTAATGATGTAGTACGGTCCAGAGTACAGCATGCCCACCAGCATCTGACCAACATGGACACATTTTAGAGTTGTATGCACAGACAGTGTTTCAGAATAAACATGAGGTATTTCATAGCTTCAGAGTTACCTGTGCTTTAGGATAGGCAGTAGGGTCTTTCAGGTAAGGCTCGTACTGCTGTGTGTACTCTTGACACCATGTGCTGGAACAGTCCAGAACAACCTTAAACACAAAATACACAGGCACGCCACATAAAGACATATTTTCAACCCATGTGTGTGTGCAGTTGATCCTCTCAAGGTTTCTTACCAGGCCTCTGAAGACACAGAAAGCGAAAGCAGGGACGAGGTAGATGATGAACAGTAAGTCCAGAGGTCTGTGTAGTAAACTTTTTTGTTCAGCCTCCTGGATGTTACGAAAGAAAGCAACATCATGACATTACACTTAAAACTTTGCATCACATACATAGCTCTGTCACACACTGAAGAGGTGCTGGAGGGGAAACGTTTGCCTGTTGCGTTTCGAAATGTATATTGCACCTACTAACAGCTATACAACAAAAAAGGAAGCTTACATTTATCAAAGCCAAGAGACCAGTATAATGTAATGGACTGGCAATCATAGACATGTTCTCAAAGGTCATAGAGACAGAAAAAAGAATGTAAGAGAGCCAATATCCTGAAAAAAACCAAAATGTCTTTCTTATCTATACAGCTCCAGAGACTGAACTTTTTATTTTCTTAAGGCAAAATGTTTACTTTCTTGGCTGTTTCCCTTTTTCGAGGGGTTGTGTTCATGTGTCCACCTGTTCAAGGTATAAAGTTAGCATGTCTTTTAAATGATCATAATCAAATATTTTAAAAATAGAATTGTGGTGTCTTATATTTCAAAACTGCTCTACACGTTATATTTCTTCATTAATAAGCATCTATTAAAAAACCCATGTATGTGAACCAGTGATATTTTTTATTTTAACAGTTCTGATCCTGACTTACAGCCAACTCATCTTCCTGTGTGGAGGGCTGACTGAAGATGCGGAAGCAGGCCCAAATAGACACCGAGATGTATAGCATGTGGAGGAGGAAGAAATAATTAACTTCGGTTCCATGCTTTCCTGAGAATAGACAGAAGATTTATATGTCACTTTGGGAGGGACGCAAACCAAGACAGAAGAATGTATCTACATCAGAATGTGAATGTATCTACATCATATGTGAATCTTTTTCAAATTGACTTCAGTTTGGACCTTTGTAGTATTCTCAAGGGAGGTATGTGTAGGGAGGGTAATACGCTACACTAAAAGCATGCCATTATTTTTACTTACCCACAGTACTCCCAAGAATGTAGACTATGGCACGCATGAGAAAAGATCCCACCCAGTAGAGACCAATGGCTCGGTAACTGTCCCTGTGGAGAAACAAAAAATGCCATTGTCAAAGCCAAATAAACACATTATACATAGATACATAGATACATAGATAGATAGCACTTACCCCCAAGTAATCGCAGCAATCATGAGCAGATACATGAGATAGTGAACACAGCCATCCCAGTAGGAGATCATGTGCCCATGTGCTGTGTTAATATGTGGATCTGCCTGAAACACAGGGCAGTTTTATTATCAGGAATGTGTGCAGGCTGTGCATACTGACAACTCACTGACAGGATTCACAACAAAACACTTGCCTGCCTGAGGTAAAATGTCACAAATCCATCAATGATGTTGTCCTGCTCCAACCCAATTATCAGATTCACAACACTGAAGAAGGCATACACTGCATACACTGGACACATAGATATACTTTCATTTTAATTCAGTTTGGTGACAAAACAACAATAGATACTTTTGGATATTTTATGTGAATATGGTTTGGTCCCAACATGAAAACATGCATTTCTGAATCCATACCATAGAAAAGAGGATCTGCTGGAGCCTTCTTCTTGAACATAAAATGTGCAATTGACAGGATGATGATGACTGTTGAACACCCAGCGAAGATGAAAGCTTGAGCGCTAAATGCAATAAAATATATTATTATAATAATAAAAATAATAAAGTATATTTCAAAAGAATTTATGACAAATACCATTATCCTATTAACTGTTCCACTAATGATAACATTTTCTTCATCATCACAGGCATAGAACAAACACAAGATTAAAATCCTCACCTGTTGGCTATGAGGGAATTAAATAAATAGCAGATGGGGATGGACATCAAGGAGAGCACAAACACTCCCGTCCCTGCAGACGCTGCAGACACACTCATCGCGACCAGGCTGATAATCTAATAAATCAGCTGTTAAAGACACATGTGTTTAGTCTGCGAGTCTCATATCTCAAGGAGTGAGGAGAAGTCAAACTATGTTAGGAACAAACTTCAGATGCAGCTCAGGCATGCTCTGTCTTGTTCTTCTGGTCTTTCTCACTCCCCCTCTCTTCCTCTCTGCCTCACTCACACACACACACACACACACACACACACACACACACACACACACACACACACACACACACACACACACACACACACACACACACACACACACACACACACACACACACACACACACACACACACACACACACACACACACACACACACACACACACACACACACACACACACACACACACACACACTTTATTTTATTGATAGTGCAGACTCTGACATCTAGTGGTCGATTGGAACATTTGAAGCAGGCAGCACGATATTCACATTTAACACTAAGCAAATAAGTAGCATTAAGTGCGGCTTAATACAAAAAACGTATTTATTTGGGGCTTAATATCAATGTTATAATTGATCAAACATGTTCAAATCCACATTTTTAAAGGTTGTTATGATTACTTCCAATATGATTTATACATGATGCAATGACAAGTGTTTGATAAATAGTGAAAATCTATAACATATTTTAGGCAATATTCATAAATAATTACTATTATGGCGAAAGTGTTCCTTCAGAAACGTTTTATTTGACTAACTTTCACTAACTACTACTTTACTCCTTAAACAGGGCATGATGTGTTATGACATATTACACAATATGTCCTCAGGGATCACTTTACATTTGGTTATACTAATATAGGCGACACCTTTTAGGCTTTACCTTTATTTATATACTACTACTAGCCTACTATACTATTTATTTTTATACTAATGCACTTTATTTTTCTTTACCGAATATTTGTTTTGCACTCTTTTTTTGTGTAGTTATATAAACAGTCTATGGTAGTCGTCTTAATCATGTGTCTGTTATTTTTGTTACGTATGTAGCCTATTTGTATTGACTCCGTCCTTTTAATAGATCTTAGATTTTTGCGACTTTTTTCATCACTTTACGTTAGTGTGTTGCTCTTGTACTCAGCAATAAAGTTGAATGAAAAAAAAGTGTTTTGAAGGAAGTGTGCGTCTGCGTCATTTCTGGAGAGACGCAAGCTAGCAGAGCTAAACATCAAAGAACGATGGCGTCCACCGCAGTGGATACCACGTAAATACATAACGACCCAAACGGTACGGTCGGTGTATTTTCGTCTGTCGTTGCCGGTGCTTAGTAGGAGTAGAGATAGAAAAAATAGTAACGTGTCGTTATGGCGACCGGGAGCGGGAGCGGCAGCAGCGTCGGCTTAGCGTCAAACCATGACGGTCAAGAGGCAGCATCAAACTCGGTTCAGTCTGGAGCTGCATCGGTGCCTTCCAACGCGCCTGTCCCCGGTGCTGCCCCCGGTGCTGCCCGGTCTGCCTCCCCGCCTGAGCTCGGCCTTCAGCGGGAGCCCATGTACAACTGGCAGGCGACGAAGAGCTCCCTGAAGGAGCGCTTCGCCTTCCTCTTCAACAACGAGCTGCTCAGCGACGTCAGGTTCATCGTGGGGAAAGGCAGGCAGGCCCAGAGGATACCGGCCCATAAATTCGTCCTGGCCGCCGGCAGCGCCGTTTTTGATGCCATGTTCAACGGGGGCATGGCCACAACCTCGGCGGAAATAGAGCTGCCCGATGTGGAACCAGCAGCCTTTCTCGCCTTGCTCAGGTAGGACAGCTGATACTGGGCTGTGTAGAATATGCACCATGCACAGGGCACATTCAATACCACATTCAATACCACTTGGGTTACCAGGTCGTTCAGGAACATTCATCTTCAGGGATATAGCCAAGGAAATGAATTCGTTTGGGAATTTATTAACTATCCAGATTTTTGTGATCATTTTATTTCACTGTCCAGTAAGATAATACAATACAGGCCATTTGTGTTCTACTCTAAAGAATGATTAATCAGCTTTTGGTCTACTCTGTATTGAAGGGTTTAAACTTAAAAAGCATGCAGTTCATAGCATTTATTTGTTGTATGCGAAATTCTACCCTTTTCAGCTGGAAATAAAATATGTTCGTCAATAATACAGATACAAAGAGGAAAGGAAAATAAGGGAACATTTTTGATCCAATCCTACCTAAAGCCAAAAAAGTGTAACTTACATTTTTGAATGACACGTATCCTCCCAATTATTTCTGACATAAATGATTTAACAGGAATACAGATGTGTTGATTATGTGAGAGGGACATTGAGAACATATTATCCTCAGTGTGAACCTGTACAGGAATGTTGGCTTGCATTTCAAGAGCTGACGTTAATCTTATGACATATGGCTGCTACAAAGACTCTCTAAATGTGGTGTTCATTAAAGCTGAAGTTCATCAAGAAGAAACAACCTGGGTTTTCTGATAAACAATCTGATTTAACTTGGTAAACAAACAGCTTTATTCATAGACGTAAATATGTAAAGATTGAGCCCCTGATCAACGGATGGAGGAATCAATTTAATACAAATCAGCACAAAAATAATGAGTGGTTGACTTGTCTTTGAAACAGACTTGTGCGATGTCTCTCAGAAGTGACTCACTAAAAAGACGTTTTATTTGGGACACACCTGGATTAGTGAGCTGTAATCTTAAATTGTTATAATGAATATACGCAGCACAAGTTTATCCTCATATACGTAGAAGATGGTCTGTTAAAGTACAAGCATTCACAGTGCCTTGAGCACATCGGACAACACCTACTGTGAAAATAAGGATTAAGGGACGAAACATTGGGAAAACCAACCAGTTTATTCTGAGGAGTTGAGTACAGGACAACAAACTACTTATTTGCAGTGTAGTTGTGTTGTTGATAGCTACGAAAACCACCACTGCAGTTTTTTTAATTTTGGGTGTATTTTGGGTTCAACCTGGGCTAAGCATGCCATGACTAATTTCCAGCCCTACTTCCCTGTATTTCCAGTGCAGTACTCACACATGCTCTTTAGAGTTTAGTGTCCTTGACATTTTTGTGTGCCTTGTTTCAGATACAACACGTTGTAGACACTTTAGTAAGATATAAAAACAAATGTTTATACAAACTCCTTTTTTTCTATTAACCAATGTAAGAAAATATTTCTTGGTAGATCTTCTGAGGAGGAGCAGCTAAACATTACTTTATACAATTGGCTAAATGAAGGCATGAATTAGGTACTGTCTGATAAAATAACATCTGAGTAGACATCTGATGCCTTCTTTTGGACAGCTTTCTATTCTCTGTGCGGAGGACAGATTTAAAGTACTGAGGCTTAATTCCCCCATAGTGCTATTAATCTACAACTGCAAATGTGTTGCTCTATTAAGATTTGTTGGCCTGTGATGCCATTTATACTGAGAGAAGATAACCCCATGAACACCTAACCTGACTCCACACATTTCTTTGTTTCCTCTGTGCAGGTTCTTGTATTCTGACGAGGTCCACATTGGTCCGGAGACTGTGATGACGACCCTGTATACGGCTAAGAAGTACGCCGTCCCCGCCCTGGAGAGTCACTGTGTGGACTTCCTCACCAAGCACCTCCGAGCTGACAACGCCTTCATGCTGCTTGCTCAGGTAATCAACACGTCAATTGTGTAGTACATATTTGACCCTAATAATTTCTGCCAATATAATGTGGTTTGCTTCCTTAAAGTCTCCAAATTACAAAATTCATATTTTTTTTAAGTCTGTACAGATATCAGATATAAAACAGACATGTTCAGATACTTTTTATGGTTGTCGCATGCTTAGAATTAGAATTTGATTTGTGATGCCTAAAGCCTTGAAAAAAAAAGACATTGTATAGCAACATGTCTTTGTAAAAGATTTGTCCAGTGGATAATTCAAAGACCTCCACAGATCCACTTGCTACTAAATAAATAGTTCCTCTATTTTCTTTTTACATTTAATGGCCTATTTTTATAATTCAAGCACTTAAAATGAATTTACATTTTTACCTTCATTCTATGAAAGTGATGGCAGAAACTGCTTTGTCAGACACCACTGAGAAAAAGTGAGAAAATATTATCCTAGTATGTTATAATTTTAAAGCAGAGAGCAGGAATACAAGGTATAACAACAGCTTGGAATGATTTCTTAAAAGTATAGTTCCTGGGGCACAATATAATATAATGCAATTTTGTCATCTGCTGGGAACTGACAAAGAAAGAAGCCATTTTTCTTTCTGTTTGTGATCCGCACCAGACCACCTTCCAGCCATTGATGGTTGAGTTTTTATGACATTAGCTGTTCTATTTTTGGATTATGCTGCTGTCTGTCTGGGTTCAGCATTCGGCTCTGATGCCTGCTACGCCTTCAGGCTGCATGCTCAGCTGCTTTCTGATCAAAAACCACTCCCTTTTAGGTTTTTCAACCCAGGACCAGCGAGAACAGTCCTCCAAAAAACACCCAAAGCAACCCAGAGAAAAATAAGATGTATTCCCAGCTGTGAACTCTTAATTATCAGTTATATTGCTGGGTAGCTAGTTTAAATCTAATTAATATTTAATGAAAAAAATAACAATATTTCTTCCAACTACATAATTTATGAGAGTTAAATGCAAAATGTTCTGAATAAGTGGATGTAAGATTAAAAATGTAAGATGGAGAAGCATTCTTTGTGTTTTATTATATGAACATTATTTAGCTTTTTCGCATGTAAATTCAATGACCAGTTTCATCTAAAACATACTAATGTGTCTTTTTTATGCATTTTGTTCCAGGCAAGGTTATTTGATGAGCCTCAACTTGCCAGTCTCTGCTTGGACACCATAGACAAAAGCACTGCGGACGCAATAAACGCAGAGAGCTTTACAGATATCGACCTCGGTATGTGACTCTTTTGACCCGATATTTCCTTTTCTAAAGCTTTCTTTGGATGTGAACTGATGACTATTCTGTGTCTTCCTATGTGTAGACACCTTATGTGCAGTGCTCCAAAGAGACACACTCAGCATCAGGGAGAACCGCTTGTTTGGGGCGGTAGTCCGGTGGGCCGAGGCCGAGTGTTACAGACAACAGCTTCCCCCGACCTCGGAGAACAAACAGAAGGTTCTGGGCAAAGCTGTCCCGCTCATACGCTTCCCGCTTATGACTGTTGAGGAGTTCGCTGCAGGTAAGCGCACCACAAAATGTTTTTACTGATACTTTCTTTTAACACCATACTACCATTTCAACCAAACATATTCATCATGTCCATACTGTTCGAACCACAGAAACCAGCTTGATATTCTTTCTTGTGCAACAGGGCCTGCCCAGTCTGGAATATTGTTCGATCGGGAGGTGGTAAATCTGTTTTTACACTTTACAGTAAACCCCAAACCAAGGGTCGACTACATCGACAGGCCCCGCTGCTGCCTCAGGGGCGAGGAGTGCAGCATTAATAGATTCCAGCAGGTTGAGAGTCGATGGGGGTACAGTGGTACCAGCGACAGAATCAGGTGAGATGGCAACATCCGTGATCATTTTTATTAATCTAAAGAAATGATATTGAAGCTACATTTACATTTTATTTGGGTCTAATTTCCTCTCTCTGTCTTTCTCCTTCTGCAGATTCAATGTTAATAAAAGAATATCCATAGTGGGTTTTGGCCTGTATGGTTCAATACATGGACCCACTGACTATCAGGTCAACATACAGGTAACTTTTGGCATTAAGGCATATTAATGTTACAGGAATTATCACCAGTGCTTTTGTGAGGGGGTGATCATTTTCAGTTTTAGGAAGGACTGGATTTCATTAAATTAGAACGGTATAGCAAAACAGTTTTGATACCAATTTCTTTTTTTGGGTACCTTTTTTGATGAAAATAAACTCAAAATTGCTCAATTATAATTTAAATCAGCATGCTTTTCATTTGAGTGCTGATGCTTAACAGACACTTTTCCAGCCTTATCTTGGGTTGAACATGCTTCCCTTCATCCTTTGTGATATGTTACTTTATGAATATATTTATGAATTACAATTTGATGATTAATACGGCATACTTGTGATCTATGGGCCTAAGACACTGACTGTAAGATCACAATATCCCTACGGACTTTTGTGGCATGTAATCCCTCCCACATCTCTCTAAGATAAGGCTTAAAATGTCCAAGAAACAAATCTCATGTTCACTTTTTATGATTATGCCACAATTTGAGCCAACTAAAGTTGGTATAATTTAGTCCACACTTAAAAGCGATATGGGAAAATAAATCAGCTTATACTGTACTTCCAGTTACCAAACTGAAAATACACATCCTAACAGATACGTTTTATTATTTATTAACTAAAGACATTATCCTGTCCTGCAGATCTTAGAGAGCGACAAGCGCATTACTCTGGGGCAGAACGACACAGGTTTCAACTGTGACGGCACGGCAAACACGTTCAGAGTGATGTTCAAAGAGCCTGTGGAAATCCTACCCAATGTCAGCTACACTGCATGTGCCACCTTAAAGGTCAGTCTGCTGTATTTAAAATACGTGTAATTGCATAAATTAACACCCGTTTCGACCCAAATAAGGATTAACCTATTGCATGTTTGTTTTTGATTCAACATCTCAGGGCCCGGACTCCCATTACGGCACAAAAGGGTTGAAAAAAGTGCAACGGGAAACAGCAACGGGGACCAAGACAACGTTTTTATTTTTTAGCTCACCAGGAAATAACAACGGTACATCAGTGGAGGACGGGCAGATACCAGAGATCATCTACTACACCTAGACTTAACACATTGCCACGCAGGTACATTGAAGCGGGAGACCTCAGACTGCTGGGAAGACTAGACTGCTGGAGATAAACGTAGTGCCTCAAGATCCCGTGGAATAAAGAATGTGTGTGTTTGAGAGTGTGTGTGTACATATGCTGAATCTGTCTATACAAAAGTGGTGTACGGACAACATCAACAATGTGGAAGTAAGCAGAGATGTCTGGGGCAAAAAGCTTTTCGGGCATAAACTGTATCATCAGTTGTAAATGATCTTAATACTGATGTCTTGTCTGTGTTTTTATCATTGAGCTGCTGTGCAGGAGTTAATCCTGAACTAGTGAAACTAGAGACAGCTACCATTTGTTGGTCGGCACCATTTCATTTTCATTTCTCAGTTTATGCTGATGCATTTACCAGAAGTATGATATTTGCATATTTTTTATTGTGCACTGTGATCATTTATTCAGCAGGTGTCTTCAAGTACTTTGTTTTTGCATTGTATTAAGGATACATGTGTGTTGTGTAACTGCGCCAGTGGTACATGCTGTAATTTATGACTTTGTTTGCTTAGCACTTCATTAAGATGTAAAACAAGGACACTTGCGAATTTTAATAGTGAAAAAAAGGTCTTTTTGGCAATAAAATGTGGTGAACCAAAGTAAGATTGTTTTCTTTTGATAAACTCCATACTGTATATTGTTGGTCTTGAAAATATATAAAAATATTTGTTGTATCATCCCTCTTTCTGTCACTAGAGGATGCTAGAGATTCAAACAGCTACAAACCATACAGATAACCTGAGGGGTGGAAGGATGGAATAAGTTGTTCCCATTATATCGGTTAAATCTGAGCGGATATGAGGTGATCAAGGAGATACAAACAAAACTTCTGCTACAAACAATTAATTACCCTCTTCAGGCATTTAAATTATTTCAATGTAACAATATGAGAGAGGAGCTCACTTGGATAACTTGGTCATTTACACACGCTCAGTAATAGTGCTTGACTCAAGTAAAAGTACCAATGTAGCATTGTAACACCAGATTCTCCTCAGGGTGTTTCTGTTTCAGAGGATGAGTCCTGCAGCTGAAGTTACGGGCTGCATGAGACCTCTTGTCCCACAGAGAAGCTCCTCTTCATCTTACTGCTTGTTGCGTGTCACAGGAATGAAATGACCAGCCAGCCAAACTACACATTTTTGAAGCTTTGGCTTTGCAGCCAGGTGTTTTTATTTACTTCAAGGAGTGTATGTATCACTGTGTATGTCTGTTTGCTAAAGAGACATTATCAAAGGACTTTCAAGTTCCAAACAATTCAAAACATTGAGGTCAAGCTGGGTCAAGATCATACATCTGTTTACCTCTAAGACACATGAAACAGCACAAATGAAAAACAAAACGCCATGAGAGCACACTTAGTCCTGTCTCATTCTCACACACAATCACTCACACACATACAAGGTATAAGGAGGTTTAATATGTAAGAGTGTGTATGAGTTTGGGAATGAGGGAGTGAGAGAGAGAGAGAAAGAAAGAAAGATATGAGGCGAAAACGGCGACTTGCTGTAAACCAAATACTGTATATTGTTGTCTCTGTACACACACAATGTTGTCTCTGTAAACACACAATGTACATCCAGACACACACACACACACACACACACACACACAAACACACACATTTCTCAGCTGATACCACTCTTCCACATCCATACCAACACACCTACATCATATTAGTTGCATACATGTATTCCAATGGCTGGCAGGGCCCCATTATACAACAGGCAAAGAAACCAAGAAATTACAAGCATGTAATTCAATGTGGTGATATACAGTAAAAAGGACAAATTGAACTATTTTCCTCCAATATAAAACCCTGACATTACAAAATGCATGATTATATACCGGTATGGCGGAGAGATCAAAAGATGTGGTTATAATGGGAGTGGATGGGACATTTTTGTCCGCGAGTGGCTAATGTGTGAGTTTTTTGTTTAATCTGATTCTGTGCAAAAACTAATAATCCACCAAAAATAAATGTTGTTGCTATTCTTTGACATATCCAAGACTGTGATAAAAAAAAAGCCGACCCCCCCAACATTTATTATATGGAAAATAACTGCCTTTTTGTGCATGTTTTTCATAGAAAACGCGAATTCATGTTTTCAAACTGGCAGTTAAAGGGTTAAAATCCTGAAAATAATTTAATATTTAGTATTTTTGATCAGGACTGAAGTTTAATATAATGTTTTTATCAAAGTCTTTTGCAGTGGACATTTTCGTCCCGAATGACTAATGTGCGTAGTCCAATCGAATGATACCGGAGGGTTAAGAAATGTTTCGTGCGGTACTGGAGCTATCAGACATTGGAGTGTTGCTTGTGGAAGACATTCTCAAGCAACCGTTTCTCGCTTTGCCTGACTGGCCATCGTAATCGGGCTCTTTGAAGATCCAAAAATCCACGGTTTTCATAAAATTCTGATCGGATTGGCAAAAACTTCAGAATTTGCATTGTCCGCCATTCAAATGACAGCGTTGTTTTCCCCAAAAAGTGGGCGGGGCTGTAATTTTCGCCCGGAAGTGACGTAGGTGTTACTCTCATCTATAGGAAAGAACGAGACCCCGCCTCCCACGCTGTATCCAGTTCTTATTATACATCCATGCTTGGGACCCGTTATCGTTTTAGGGGTCCGTTTCCGCTGTTCCGTTACGGCCTCGTGTGAACGAACGGGCTATACGCAGTGGCGGTTCTAGACCAATTTGACTGGGGGGGGCCAGGCTGGGGCCAGTTATTTTCTGAGGGGGGCACAATAAATGCAGGACGAAAAAGACAAAGACAGTATGAAGTAATTGCGCATAAGAAAACAATGCAATACAGTTATTGGTTGTTTCATTACACATATTTATTTCAGATACTTATAGTTACAGTTTTTACGCTCTAATGCAGGGGTCTCCAACCTTTTTTTGGATGAGAGCTACTTTCAAAAAATAAAACAAGTCGTGAGCTACTTTTATTCCTCTTTTTTTTGTTTTTTGCAGTGTATATATTTAGCACATTTTAACATTATTATATGCTTACCTTTAACCTTTGTGTGCTGTTTGGGTCTGCGGGACCTGTTTTCAGTGTTTACTAAAAGAAAATGTATGCAATTTAATCATTTTAACCTGCTTTATTTGGGGGTGGACCTCACATCTATAGGGGTCCGGGGGCATGCTCCCCCGGGAAGATTTATTTTTAAATGTTGAAGTTAAAAGCATCAATCTGGTGCACTCATATGAAAGGGAGCTGTATACTTTTCAATAATCCAAACATCTTTAGAATATGATCACAACCAATAACAAATCATTTAAACTTGTTTATTCTTATCTTATGTTACCTATAGTTTAGTTAGCATTCTTTCTTTTTATTTATGCATATTTTACTAATCACTCCCCTTTTAAACGTTTTTTTTTTTTACAACTATATTAAATAGATAAAGGTGTGCTCTCTCTCTCTCTCTCTCTCTCTCTCTCTCTCTCTCTCTCTCTCACTCGCTCACAGAGGCTGTGTGCTCCTCCGTGGCGATGACGGCTTGCTTTAAAAATATTTGTCAGCCAAGAAATCGTTTAATCATATACTTTTTTTTTTCATTTCCAGGGGGGCCACAGGGCCCCCCCCCCCCCCTAGAACCGCCCCTGGCTATACGAAAGAGAAAAGTAGCGGATAAAAGTAGCGGATAAAACCTGTTTCGTTCCCATGTAAACAGTCTCTCCTGATTGAAATACAGTAAGGAGGTAAAAGTCCAGCTGCACCCAAGTTAAGAGTGGGGGCACCTGTAACTGGTCACAATATATATGAGAAGATGATTCATGGGATTGGGAATAAGACAAATCTATTCCTTTCTTTGTGAAATATTTAATCATTCAGCAGTTTAGAGGCTAAGAGAACGTTTTAAATGTGTAATTAACATTTTTTGTAAAAAGTATAGTATTTTAGTTGTATTTTAGTACACTACTTCAGTGAATGTACTGAGAGACTTTGTGTGAAGGTGTTGCAGGTCAAAATATCCAGTAGTGAAATAAGTATTTAAATATTTGACCTAATTGAAAGTCAATTGAAGGTTTTAAGCGTCTAAGAATCCAAAAGGGCAACAAAGTAGAATGTCTCTCAATTTGAAACTATCATTATTATTATATAAATTAAAAACTTGATGTCATTAAAGCCTTGTGCAAATCTCATTAATGCCATTATTATTTATCGGATGTGCTTTCAACCTTTTCAGCCAGGAAAAAATAAATAAAGCAGTGCTGTCTGCTGAAAGCTGGTCTACAGCAATGAGATGAAGGGCTCTTAAATTTCATAATCTGTACATTCATATCTCAGAGGCGGCGGAAACAAGGCCACTTTAGACATCTGTGAGTGGGATTTGACGAGGAGAGTGATCCACGGAGGCTGTCAGGTGAGTCACCGCGACCTGAGAGCTTCTCCCCGCTGACTGCCCACTTAGACAGCCTTTATATCAGGAGAAAAAAATCAGTTTGAGGCAGGTTTTCACCACCCACCAGACATAAAGCGCTCCAAAAACTAGGAGGACAAATAGATAACAGCACTGACAATCTGCTCACATCTGTGTTGTGTACAAAATTATTTCATGGTCCTTGTAATGTATTCAGAGGGAAGGTCCCATACTGAGCATTAACGACTCAGACGAGAAGCTTATGAGGAATAACTTGAGCATTTTCTTACAGCTATTAGATTATAAATCCGTGACAGTGCAGTGATTTGTGAATGTGTGTGTGTGTGTGTGTGTGTGTGTGTGTGTGTGTGTGTGTGTGTGTGTGTGTGTGTGTGTGTGTGTGTGTGTGTGTGTGTGTGTGTGTGTGTGTGTGTGTGTGTGTGTGTGTGTGTGTGTGGGTAGATAGCAGCATAGAATAGGCTTTCTCTCGAGCCTTCTGCTTGAACACTGACAGCAGGGGAGAGGATTTTTGGCTGTTTTTTGACAACCCATGATACATGACTGTACACGACTGACTAGGTACAGAGTCAGACTTACATCGCCACAAGCAATCAGAGAAAGGCTGTTTTCAACCGTTACGTATCCGTAGCACAACTCAAAACTGGTGAACATCATATTCAAAGTGGCCTTGAAGTGAATGTTTCTCAGTCATTTGTGGCCTGATTTATATAGAGAGCCTAAAACTTAATTTATAAACTTTGGGTTTATATTTGATCATGCGGTTTTTTGTATGTTGGAAAACCACAACTTATTAATATTTATGATCATTTGATAATCTGAAAAGCCAGACTGCTTAAACCACAAGATAATGAGTAAATATCGAAAAACAGATTTCAGCTGAAGCCGGAGCTCATTAAGCCAACCCACCTGCATTTCAAAACGTATTTCTGTAGCACTGTATATGCATGACTGTTCTAGTTTTTCTGTTATTTGCCTTAACCCACTTAGTCATATGCCTACATTACTGATACAAATGTATTCAAAATGTCAGTGTGTAAATATTTTTGACAAAGCACTACCTTTAAGAAATGAGGTTTAAGTTACTTTAAAGATTTATTCAGTCCTGTTTTTATCTCAAATCTTATTTTGCGCAGTCAGATTTGTTTATCCCACATTAGACCATTTGCACACTCCTTTAGAAGATGTTCCTGAGAACTGAATTGTGTCTGTGAAGACTGCGCTCAATCCCAAAATGTGTGACATGTGTGTGCAGCATATCCTGCAATAATCTAGCTGTTTCATTTATTTATACAAATCCTCATGTAAATCCTTTTACCAAAATGTTCTGGTGTGAGATCCAGCGCTCTCTGTGTGTCCCGACCAATGTACAGCAAAATGAACCTGCAGGGATGAGTGTGTGTGTGTGTGTGTGTGTGTGTGTGTGTGTGTGTGTGTGTGTGTGTGTGTGTGTGTGTGTGTGTGTGTGTGTGTGTGTGTGTGTGTGTGTGTGTGTGTGTGTGTGTGTGTGTGTGTGGGTAAACAGTAAAATATTGCACTGCACACATTAATGTAACCAAAGTAGCCTCCAAAAGAGACTGGCAGAAATATTTATTTGGCCGTCAAATAAAGTCAAATAACATATGATAATAACAAGTGAATGAAATGTCAAAAAGCAGAGGAGGTCCGTTTATCTGCCAGATGCTTATTAAGCTCTTAAAATAAAGACCTATAGGTGAGACCCCTAGAAGTTCAGCGCAGGGTGCACGGAAAGGTCATCTTTGAACTTCTCAAACATAAAGGACCTGATGTCAAATAAAACCTTTCAAACATTACAACATCTATATGCAGGCACATACACATGCTTTCAGTGCATGTGACCTGTGGAGCCCTTTTTGATTAAACTCAGAAAGTAGGAGGGTGGAAGGAGAGAGGGGGAGATCTAATTTGAGGACATGAGAGGAAACTAGGAAGTTGAGAGTGGATCTCTATGTGGGTGCACAAACTGTAGACTTAACATCACTAACTCCTGAGCCACTGAAACACTGGATGTTTCTTCAAGTCATCTGGAAGTGCTAATCTGTGACTTCTCTCACTTTATAGTTCACATGACGAAAAATAAATGGAGTTCATTCAGTTTATGTCATTATATAAATGAAAAGTGAATGACAATACAATGAAAGGGAAAGGTTCATGCACAGCTGGTGGCCAAAAATAAAATACACAACAGATCCTTATGTTGTGTAATATTAGGTAATTTACATAATATTTCCTTAATGGTAACTATATATTGTTATTTTTTGTATCTGTCTTCATTAGTATATTCAGAAAAGTGTACTTATAAAGACAGATACAACAACTTTGAAAAAAGTCTACTTTGTTTTCTATTCAGCTACTGTACACAGCTACCTAAGTATGATTTTGATTGCACTTTACTTGCAAAGGAGTCATTTTAACATTGCTTGTACTACAGTAAGTAAAGCATTTGAGTAATTATTCCATCCCTGAGTATCACCAAAGCCTGCCTGCGTCTTCCAATAGAAGACATACCACTAGATACAATCAGACTAACAAGCTCCCCTCGGCAGCAGAGTCCACTGTCTTTACATGGATGACCTGAGCGGCTGCATGATTAGCTTATAGGGCATGCAGTTGGATGAGCAGGGGACAAGATGTCGCCAAATCCGATGTGCAGCGGCGATTATTACGGCCCTTTCTCAAGTCTAAGTGCATGTAGGAGGGCATGAATGCTATCTGCACATGTGTGTTCATGTGACGGAAGACAATGTATGTACCATACAAAGCTGGGGGCTTTCGTTTCAACAAAAAGAGTACACCGCCATTCTAATACACGTCACATGAACACTCCCCACTGTCTGCAGGGGGCAGGCCAGCCTGGGCCAACCTTAGCCCCTGCACTCCAACACCAGATGTAGGTCGCCCAGTGCTGCAGGGGCTAGGGGATGCAGTGTCTCTGTGTGTGTGTGTGTGTGTGTGTGTGTGTGTGTGTGTGTGTATGTGTGTGTTGTGTGTTTGTGGGGAGGTTGTGGGGTTTTGTACGCACACGTGTATGTCTGTATGCACTTACAAAGCAGGGGGGGAAAGAGTGATGATTGTAGTGGATGAGTTCATCATCAAGGACATGGCCCCCAGCACACTGTCTCCATTGCTGTCACATTGCATCGTCACAAACAGGCCTCATGAAGCCTGACAGCCCGGCAGACCGAAGCGAGGGACTCACTGTGGCTCTGTCCATTGTTTCCCTTCTACTCCACTCTCCAAGTCTCACTCTGCATTAACAGCTTTTTCATTAAAATGCAATAGGCTTAAAAATAATTCTGCAAAGGGAGAGAGAAGGATGAAGAAAAAAACAACATTATGTTTTTTCATTGGCAAGCTGGTTTATTTTTGAATTCTTCAACCAGAGGGATTTAAATTGGTTTATTATATACACAACAAAAACACAAGTCTGAGGAAGAGGAAGGTGTAAGTTATCAGAGGAAGAAAAACAGGTCTCAAATAAAACCCAACTAAAGACACTGCCCATTTTGGAATGCATTGTACTGCTGATTTTGTTCTCAGCATTAATTCAAAAAAATATTTTTGACTAAGTTTCAAATCCAAATGATCTTTTAAAGAGATGAGTGCAATGAATGAGTAAGAGATACGTAATGCTCAGTGGGACCCAAAGGAACAGATTAACAGGTTGACCCCTGGATTAGTCTCAGTAGTCAAGCTTGGGGATGAGCTCATGGATTTCAGGAAGATGCCAGTGTATTTCAAGAATAGTAATTTGTAAGCGTAATATTAGCTGTGATGCTAATTGTCCCCTGTGAGAGTCTACAGACGTGATTGTAAAGTTGCACTGATGATGCCAACAGGTGTAATCTTTGTCTATAAATTCATTTGGCATGTAATTATGCAAACATTGGCTAGTAAGCGCAAAACATGAAGTAAAGCTGAGGCTGATGGGAACGGTGCAAGTTTTGAAAATACTTGGGCATAAAACAAATTGAAAATTTGTAAAAAGTATCAAGACATGCCTCTCAAAACCCCAAAAATGAACCTCATGGTGACGCTTAAGGTAGCGCCTATGGGAGTAAGTGAGCTTAACCCCCTTGGAAAAATGGATGCACAAAATGTCTTTGTCTCTATGCAGCAAATCCCTGCTCTGTAAAGATGCAGAGCTCGTGGGTGAAGTTTCTCTAATCTGAACTGATTACAGTGGTGATGGCAGCCTTCCTCGTTGTGTGGCAGTTTCAGCACATCCCCCACACTCTCCCCTAACCTCCCCCCTCCTTCCTCACAGCTGATTGCACTGCTGAAGTCCAAATGAACTGTTAACCCAGTCTTCACCACGGCCACAAATAGAAACCACAGAATGGCACTTAGGCAGCGAGGAAACAATGCAGAGCTTGTGTTGTGGACCAATAAGTCCAAAAGTCCCCATTTGATGCCTAATTGAGATCTTCTATGAAAGTACTGAGATACACAAGCACTGACATCTTTAGGCAATGAGCTACATATGCCATAACCAATGATGCATGTAGCAATAATGTATAAATTATGACCATAAATATTTCAGCTGCTTTTCAGAGTGTGAACTATTGGTCTTGGGTATTCTGCTGAGCCATTTACCCTGCATGCTGCTTTCCCTCCGTACAGTAGAGTTGTTCAGCCCATTTAATTTCATATGCCACCCATTAGACTAAAGGCAGACACAATGTGGCCTCAGTAAATTCTCAATTTCTGTGCCCGTCGTGAGATTATTTCAAACAATACGTTTGTATAGTTACATATTTTGGTGATGGAAGCAAAAAATTGTTTAAGATAAGCTTTTATTTGAGCAAATTCAATATATTCTGTGCTACTCATCTAATTACCGGTACATCACTTCAACATGCAATTTTCTATGATGGCCTTGATCCCAAAACTCTTCAAACTTTAAAAATCTGTGTACTTCTTTAGCATTCACTCAAAGGAATCAAAATGTATCTTGAGGATGGAGATTGTTGTGTCACCCAAGCCTAAATCAGGAGCATAATGTGACTAAATTAATCCCCCTTAATACGGTGAGTAAAACACTGATATTGTTCAGCTTTATTTAGTGAGGTGCATCCTTATTATTGCTGCAACAATTGGTGGAGCGACAGAAAAATAATCACCAACTATTTTAATAATCGATTAACCTTAAAAAGGTAATTCTTTTGTATGCAAAAAATGCTGTTGTCAGCCACTCTCAGAATGATGCCTGTTCCCCCATTTAAAAAATGGTGCTTAGTGTTGAACTCCATAGCCTCACAAAACAGAAGCGATAAATTAAGAAAATACATGTTTATTGAAAACAGTTAAGTTCATCAGTTGTCTTATATAATGTGACACAGAAAAATAAAGCTGCATTGCAAACATACTTCCTCTTGAATTTGTGGTTCACTGTTTGCAACAATACTGTACTGTATAATTTGTAACAATCTGATATCAAAGCACGTAAAGACGTAGCTACAAAAGTATCTGAACAAAAAACTTTTTCTTTGTTAAATAAGGAAGTTATTTTGTGAATTGATTTACTAAAAAATAAAACTTTCACTGTCATTTTCAATGAGAGTTCATGTATTGAAAACTGTATGCACTTATTATCCATCCTACAAATGTAAGAAGAACATTTAATGAGATTACAGGGCTGAGCAAAAAGAAGCAGTATGGGGGGGAAATTATGATTTTTATGTATGGAAATGGTAAGTGGGTGTCAAACAGGATCTGTCTTTGTATGCAGTCACATTTCAGAAATAATTCTCCGACAATATAAAAAAAAGTTATGCACAATTACAATGACAGTCAGTATAATGTTCATATTGGTATATTAATCATACCTAGAATGTTGCAATGAGATTCACACAAACAAATCAACAGTTGCACATTGCCACATGGATTGCAATGCAAGTTGAAAGACAATGAATACTGAAAACACCTGAGAGATTCCAGATCAGTAGCGGTCATAATGTGGTCTCTGATTATAGGAGTTGTATCCCTGGTTGGAGCTTGGAGGGCCGGATTGATACCCGCTGCCATGCCCAGAGTGCCTGTCTCTGTCTCTGTCCTGCTGCCCACGATTGTCCCCTCTCCAGCCTCGGTCTCCTCCCCATCCACCTCCACCTCCACCTCGGCCTCCTCCTCCTCCTCCTCCACGACCTCGACGGTCCTGGTACCTAGAGAGAGACCGATAGAAATCAACAATAAACAATAAACAATAAACAACAAACAACAGGTACGGACTCATGCATTACAAGTCAAGACAGCAGGAAATGTTTCCTTTACATAAATATTAAGAATTCAGGCTGGTGGGCAAAGTCAACAATAACTGGGGTTATTCCTCAAGAGCATGTTAAAGCAGTTAAGTAAATAAAATAAAATCTACAAAGTAAAGTACAGTGTCTGTCTGTTTAAACTTGCCTTTGGTCTCTATGATTTCCCTTTAATATTGCGTCTATAATTTATTAGTTTTGCTTTAGTCATCAAACAGGATTTACTTTATAATGTCGACTTCAGAAAGTGAAATACTAAATGTAACTTTACTTGGTTAACTCAAATTAGTCAAAATCAACAAACCTCACCTGGAATGGAAAGAGAAACACAAGTAAGGTTGTTTTAGCTCCTAACTCTACTGTGATTACACCAACAAGTTATTAAAAGAGACGTTTTCTGATCAAATTTTGAAACGGTTAAGCCCGATATAAGAAAGAGGCAAGTCAGACCTATTTGAAATAGAAAAACATTTAAATATATACTGTGTCATGTAAAACAGCCCTAATCAACCAAAAGGTCCAACAACTATGGAACAAACGTGCATGTATAATCTGTGAGAGGTCCCCTAACTCTGTGGTGCAATACTAAATCACTTAAACTTTAATGTAACTTGTAAACTTTGTAAGCTTCTTAACAGTGTACTTCAATCATATCTCAATACTTAACTTTACTTAGCTCTATTGAACACTGCTCCAAGATGACACTCTTGCACTCTTACAATAAGCTGGTTATCATACAGTCGGTGTTAACCATTGCCATAATGCACACATAATAAGAATAGGAAGGTAGATTACAGGATATGAAGGCTAAAGTTACACTACCTGTCCCTGCCGCCCCTGTGGTTTCCCCCCCCGCGGCTCCTCCAGTCCTCCACGATGGGAGGCAGGTCAGCTGGACGGCTCAGATACTGCTGGTACTCTCTGTCATCTGATGTGAATCTGTTGGCAAACATCTCCTCGTTGCTCTGCTGGGTTTCCGTGGTTTCGGCCATGCTGATAATACAGACGAAGAGCTACATAAGCAATGGATATCAGCACAAAGCTAATAACATAGTAAACACAACACGTTGTTATTCCGGATACGTCTTTTCTATGTCTTGTTTTTGCTTTGCTTCAAGACAAATCCCCCATGCGGAACAATAACAACTAGACTGATCTGGATGTGATTAGCTAGCGTTAGCTAAAGATGCATGTATCAGAAAAATCGCCCCAAAACGCCTTTTAGTGCTATAATTTAAAACATACCTTTAAAGGACGTGAATGTTGTATTTTCCTCAGAACTAATACCGCTACCTTTGAAGATATCCCGGTGCAGTACGTCGCTGAAAGTCTTCCCCCCGGAACCAAGGATAATTATTAAATGGTTCCGGGAGCGCGCACACGGACACACCTGCCAGTGATTGCTGACTGTTACCTGCCAGTTAGGACCAACGGTCAACATATACTCGTTTAAAGTCTGTAATGTGCTACTTTAAACTCAAGTTATCTAAGCATATCTTAAGATAAATATGCTAATGTGAGGCACATCTAATTATTTGTTTCTGTGACCGTTAATTAAAACAAATTTAGGAGAAAGTGCCAACTGCTGAAAGCCTTCACTGACAACATGTAAGTGCAACTGAAGTCACTCAACACGACCAACACGTTGTTGGTCGGTTTCGAACACCTAGTTTTAATAATGTAGGCTATCTCGCTTTTAAATATGTCGTGGTTACGGACCACAGTTTGCGCTAAAGCCCCGACAGTAACCGCAGACACGCAGAAACCCCAGGTTTAACACAGTGTGGGCGGCTGTGGCACAGCGTGGGCAGGTGGAGCCGCTCCGTGTCGCTGCTGCTGCTGCTGCTGCCCTTCACAATGAAACACAATCCCGTCGGGGGAAGAAACTCTGCGCAGCGATCAGGCAGCGGGGAAACATTTACTTAATTAATCAGTGCTGATTATTGGAAGACAGCGAGGGGAGAGACACACTCCGAACTGGGATATATTGTCTCTGAAGAGGAAAAACAAACAAGCAAAGAGAAAAAACTTCCTGAAGGACCGGGGCTCTGTGAGAAAGAGCTTGACAACCCACTGATCGAGTTTACGAAGAAGTGCTCTCATATTTCACTTGTCTGTCAGCAGCGAGAGGACTTGTTCGACTCTTTGGACCGCTTATCATCTGCGGACTTTGACTGCGCTTTAAAACACATTTCCTGTAAACCCGCAGCAGAAAGAGCCTGATATATTAAAAGGAGTTATTCCTCCAATCCGCGGCAATGGGGTGAGTAATCCAGTAAATGCTGCCCTTCAGAGCGCCTCTCATGACACCTGCACTGTAATGTTATATGTCTCTGTGTGGTGAAAATTACAAAATACCTCTACAAATGTAGAGTCAATCATCTACTTACATTTGATTAGCATTGCGATTTTCACCCAAAGCTCATCAATGTGTGTTGACAGCGGTGGAAGACCCCGGTTTCTTCTTTTATAGCCAGATTATTTGGCAATGTGGGTAATCTAAGAGGTTACTTCATTTTGTCTTTGAGAAATTCAGATTCCATGTGTGAAAATACTTGATGTCAGGTATGAACGTTAGGCGGATCAGTCTAATTGCTATTTGTAGGAATATGGTTTTGAGAGGGTTATGATACGGAGGTGGCAGAGTCAACACTGCCCACTAATAAAGTGTGTGTGTGTGTGTGTGTGTGTGTGTGTGTGTGTGTGTGTGTGTGTGTGTGTGTGTGTGTGTGTGTGTGTGTGTGTGTGTGTGTGTGTGTGTGTGTGTGTGTGTGTGTGTGTGTGTGTGTGTGTGTGTGTGTGTGTGTGTGTGTGTGTGTGTGTGTGTGTGTGTGTGTGTGTGTGTGTGTGTGTGTGTGTGTGTGTGTGTGTGTGTGTGTGTGTGTGTGTGTGTGATTAGTGCTCTCCCACAGTTGTTTACAGGGTACAGTGCATTATTTTTGCCTTTATAGTCCACTGTAGTGTGAATGTTGTCTCAATGCCATAGTTATGCAATTGCCAGCTCGCTTTATATCTGCATATAGGCTACTATACATTTTCTCTCTGGATTATTTTTCCCTGTTTGCATAGCTTTTATTTTATAGTGTTGAAATAGTATTTTAGTGTAATTACATTTTTTACAGAATCAAAGATGTCACTGAATAGTTAACGTGTACTTCATAAATGCTTCAATTCATTAAGGATGCTTGATTTATGTATAAAATGAGGAACAGTGTGAATATTAAGTAGCATTAATGTTCTGTTATTAAGTAAAACTGGCACCCAGAGAGCTTGTTTCTCTTGAGCAGACATGTTTTTTTAATGTGTAAGAAACCAGTTCATCAGTCTGGAATCCCTCTCAGGAGTTTGGCATACTCGCCCAGCAGGTTTGAAGTGAGTCAGTATGATGTGATGAAACTGGCCCAGTGGACCAGCAGCAGCCAGGCCAGGACAGGAGGTCACACCTACTGACCGAGACATGGCAACACGTTTCATTTGTCTGGTTCTCTGGTTTCAGTCAGTGCCTACCTGTTTTTTCACATGACAGCTGAATACTTAGTAGGCAGGCAGAGACAAACGACTCATAGGAAATGTCATTTGGCCAACTGTTCTCTAAACCTACTGTGAAGGACCACAAACTGCTAGGATTTGTTTAGGGTTGCTTATAATGATTTTCAAAATCCCTAAATCTTCTTTTTTTTTGTTAGTTTAGTTTATAAAATGTCCAAACATAATGTAAAAATCCCATTACAAGTTATCAGAGCCTGAGAAGTGCTTGTTTTATACAGCCCAACCAAACCCCAACATATTATCTTTATTTGTCATTACTCATTCTTATTGCTGCAATGAATATCCATGGTTATTCATTCTTAGGTCTCTAAAGACATCCCTAAAATTGAAAAGCTGAAACTCTGCTTTTTCAACAGATTGGTAAATTCATTGTTTAATATCTAATATTTTCAGCTCTATATCTGATTTACAACCACTGATGGGTAAATGTCCCCTCTGTGGGACAAATAAAGGAATTCTGCTTGTGATTAAAGTAAACATTGAAACAAACTAAACAGAAGGGAAAATTAAAGTTGAGGTTACAGGCTTGCCTATTCGTGCATTATTTCACATCTGGGCTACCCTTCAATGTGTCAATAAGTCAATGTGTCCTGCCCTGCCCTTAATGACGGGTCAATATATTCAGTAAAAAAGCATTTGTGTGTCTGTTTGTGTTAGACAGAGGGAACTTTAGGATTCAGGTGGCCCTGCTCTATGCTCCTATGGAGTTAAATATGAACTATAAGTCCCACACACACACCCATAACACCCTCAGTATCGATCTCCACTTGTCCCCTTACTTCCTTCCATAGCTCTTTCGTCCTGGGACCAATCTGTGCCCTCTTGAACTTGCTACATTTCTTGTTTTTATATTGATCACCACATTTTGTCTTAAGCACAATACTAATCCAATTTATAATATGTGCAGTGTGCCCAGTACATTACATATTTCTAATTCAAGATTGCTGATTTTAAAGAGGGTGATGAAATGCTGATCTCAACAGTGGGAATGAAAGTGATGGTAATTGTATTTGTAAGTTGTTTCGCAGCTTAAGCTCTGCGTCTCAGATTGCCTGAAAGCCCCTTCTCACTAAATAAGCGCTCACACAGACAGCAATGCAATCAGCATACTGCTCCCAGCGTTTATGCTGGGAGCGCTAACACAGGGACAGATGATAATCTCCTGGCTGGCCACAGAGTGACGGCTAAAGGCTTAACACTCATTGATTAGGCTGTGTGACATGTGACGTGGCAGTGGGTCTCTTGGCTGCTCGGCCAAGAGAGTGGACCGTAAGCCTAATCGGACTGTGTGTTTCCTGTCTGTGTTTGAAGGCCAGAGGGGAAGCTTGAAGAGGTGTAGTAGAGGAGTAAAAGCAGGTCTCGCTGTTTAGGAATCATGGGTAAATGAAAGGAGACATAGTGATGGTGGATTGGACGTCTCCTCACCAGATGGTTGAGGCCTAGGAGGCCATCTGCTGCCATGCTGTGCTTCTGTAGAGACTTCCTCACTCCCTTTTCCCCGAGCTCTTAGATTAAGTTGGGCTCTGCATCCTATAGTCTCAGTATGGTGGCGAGGACCTGCTGTGGTTGCTGGTTTGATTCTGGCCTGCCGCCGTTTTTGCATGGGATGCTGTCCATCTCTCACCAGTTTAATGGGGATGAGGCACAGTTCACTATGCAGTACGATGCCAAAACACTGGGAGCAATGATGATGGTCACCTTTTAATATTAAATATGACGAGACAAAATTATTTGAAAAATGGACGGTATATTACTAACAGTATAATACCAACATTGGATATGTATTTTGATTATGATTAGATCATTTGTTTTTCCAGAAATATCTATTATTTGTACTGTATTTACCTCTTCAGGGCTCTGAACCTGATCATAGACAATTATACAACAAGCAGTTCAATTGTATTTAACAGCAGTATATCATTATAAAATATCCAGAAGGACAAATGATCGTAAGCAATATAAACACATACAAAATAAAGTTAAATAGTTTTGTGTTTGTACATTTCTTTTATGGACAGAGAGCTTGTTTGCTTTTTTTGCTCAACAGCTTGGTCTGGGTTAAGCACATAACATTTGGTAAACAGGAGGCATTTGAGTTGAATCAAATAAAACTATGAATAGAGATCCCTATCATATTCAGTAAATCCAAACAAAATATTTTCCATAAGTAGTGTAGATATGATCTGCAACAGCTCCTTTCAATGTTCCCCACAGCTGTTTTGTATGTGAGCAAGACCAAAACAAATGCACCAGCTTTTCTCTGAGTACCCCACACAAGGTACAACATACATCCATGCCTTCCTTAAGTTTCTGCATATAATAATTAGTTGCATAACACCTGTGAATCCTTTGAAGACTTTATGCATCAACGTATCAGTGAAACTCTTTCCCAATAAATATCTCCAACAATTGCTGACTAGTATGACACGGCAGAGAGTGTAAGCCTGCTTATCTCTTATTGAGAATGTTTGAACGCACGCTACTGTATCTGCAGGCTGTTCTTCTTTGACATCATTACTAGAGCTCCATGTTTATTGCATTAAAAGCCCAGGTGGCGTTGTGGTGGTGATTGCTCAGACCTTTACTCTCCTGCATGCGCACGTTGCTCATTCATTCAGACAAATCTCTGCTCTCACTAATAAGGAGGTTTTGCTCTCCAGCAGACCTTGCAGGTACAAATTACAGAGAGCCTTAGCTCTGATCATCTGATAAATTCATAATATTACACCGGCTAATGAGAATCCAAGTTATTAGATGTTTTTTTTTAATGTTCACGAATAAACGATGCACATTTATTTTCTCATTTGCAATTTTCCTAGAGCGGGAGTCACCAGATCTGTGCACCTCGAGACAACGATGTCAAATGAGTTTCTCATTTTGCCTCTCTTCTTGCCCCTG